AGTTAGTAGAACCCTTGCCCATTTTGGGTAATAATACCACCAGTCAACCCATTAGACGATTATTCCTATACTCCCCCTACACCCCGCCCAATATATCACTACTACTTCCCCATTAGCAACACAAGTATAGGAATAACCAATTACCCCATCTATATTCTCTAAGGTGGTATTATTAGCCAAACTGGGCAAGGGGGTTCTTATAGAATTTGTTTCAGCATTTAGGGTTAAGTAAGGTGGCTATCTTCCAGTCAGCAATGCTACCACCCCCACCCCCCACCGTAGGTATCTCAACCCCAACATTCCAGACCTAATAGGTCAGGATTCGTGGAGTTACGTCCTCCACAAAAGGTACAACCAAGATGCCGCGGTGACGAAGACTGATGTTTGGAGTTAGTGTCCACTGGTAGGCCTGCGCTTAGAACCACCTAGACCTTCTACAACACCTAGCAGAAGCTGTGGGGACCTCTCGGCGAAAACTGAAGTTGGGGGTTCGTGGCACACGCCTGCATCTCACCCAAGCTGTTTTCCCGCCCAAGTCTCGTGAGGCTTCCCAAGTGCTCCTCTGCCTTGGAGCAATGGGGTCTGGCAAGTGGCTTTGTGTCGCGTTTGGGTCGGTTAGCATTCGCTATCCCAGGCTTTGTGTTCAGCTCCACCGGAAGCACCGAGCCAGAGCAGATGGCGGCGTCGGCACGCCCGTTTGTTACAGATCGTGACGTGGGCAACAAAGCAAAGCAGCAATTGGAGAAGGACTACGAACAAGCGTGCCGCAAAGTTTTGGCCAAAGCCTTCAACCTCAAAAAAGCTTGCGGTTTCGGGTTTGAGGCTCCCAACACCTTCTTGGAAGCATTAGGGGTGATTCCATCCCGTTTTGGGCATTGGAACACGGAATTGGATGCAGTCTTTTTGTACCTGCAGCAGAGGCATCTGCCGCGGCTGTCATGACGTATCCAAGCGCAGATGATTGAGAGTCTTCATGCTTGGACCAGGAGGCTGGACTGACGCTGACACACAAGTGCGCGGGTCTCATACTGAGCCCCGCTTGATCGTGGCCGAAGTGTCCCGACCTGTTGGACAACTCAAGGCTAAGCTTAAGCAGCTCAAAGCAAGATTGGCCCTGTTCAACCACTGGAGGACACGATTTCAAGTCGTTCTTGTGATCGTTGTGAATGGCCCAGACCAGGCCTTCCGCATGGCTCAGCAGGATGTCCAGACTTCTTCCTTCAATGTGACCATCGTACACTGGAACGACCAGGTGGCCAGGTGGTTCAATCTTGGAAGGCGGAGGGCAGGGCGGAGGGCAGGGCGGAGGAACGGGATCGTTTGACTAGAAAGGCAGCAAAGATGGGGCTGCAACCGGAACAGCTCAGGCAGCTCTTCGATGAACAAGGGAAATGTTCAATCAGAAAGAACAGGATGAAATACTAAATAACTTCTTGGATCTTGTCAAGGTTCACGACTACTTCAGGGAACTCAAGGAAGAGCGACGGAATTGTAAATGCAAGGATTGTAAAAACACGAACGTTATTCCACTCTATACGAATTGCCACTACCAGAAATATTATTAATAATATCTACGGTTTTGCTTATTTTCCCGTGCTTGTCAAAAACGCCAATTCAACGAAGAAAGGATAAAGGGAATTACCAGGCGTGATAGACTACACGAATATGATGTAGAGAGACTTACTTTCTCAATTAAACATAACTTTCCCAATTACGACTGGGTTAAACATGCTCTGTTCAAAAATTTGTCAAAAAGAAGATATGAAAGGTTCAAATGGATATATGAGGATTGGATGAATCTCAAAAGTATGGACAAAAAGATAAATATTCGTGGTAAGATAAACGGTTTTGGTTTTAATCCAGATATACCTTTTAGGGACTTGAATAAAATTGCTGGAACTCTTATGAATAAACCTGGTTTTGTAATGGATTAAACAACCTAGCCAGCATAGTTATAGTGTAATTATAATACATAAGCAGTTCTATATTATAATTACAGCATAGTTACAACATTCTTGAACAATCCGAAAAGATTAAGCTTTGGTTTAACCCTTAACACTAAACCCTGAACCAAATTCTATAAGGAACCCCTCGCCCAAATTGGGTAATAATACCACCGTAAAGAATATAGATGGGGTAATTGGTTATTCCTATACTTGTATTGATAATGGGGAAGTAGTACTGATATATTGGGTGGGGTGTAGGGGGGAGTA